TGCCACATGTCACCTTATACTTTTCTCCAAAGTGTTCCATGTACGTACCATTTGAAAGCTCTCTTTCTGCTGAATTCAAAAATACGAATATCTCAGTTTTTGAAAATTCCAACTTTCAGCTCATTTTGTGGTGACAGGTCATATATACTTGCATTAACTGCAGCTTTTGTGATGTAATTGAAATATAAAATGTCTTAAAAAGTGTGATGTCATTGTTAGTCCGAAAAAGGAGACCATTTTGATGTACGGAAAAGCTGAGTAGGGTCTTCTTACTTGGTGACACAAACGTGGTTAGAATAGATACCAAGAAGGGTGCCATTTGGTGTTCCAGCAAAGGGATTTTGACGGTGCAAAATTTTATCAGAGTGCTATTTTTTACGAAAGGAGCTTTCCTCAAGGCAAAAATGGCTGTTTGTCCCAGTGCCCTGGTCTTCACTTTGTTGACTGTTTGAAATGGTTCCATTGTTGTTTCAGTTTTCAAGAACAAGTGCCTTTGCACAATCAAAATGAATGGTGTGATTGCAGGTTCTAGTTGGAAGAGCACTGCCTTACAACAGGATCTGTGCCATTCTCTTTCCAGGTGGGTATTTCTCTGGCAGCGGTCCAGCCCATCTGATCCGAGACGCCATCCTGACCCTCTGCTCTCAGCTCAAAGATGAAGCTGTGGCCCTCGTGGATGTCTTTGCCCCACCTGACTTCATCCTGAATTCCCCCATCGGTGCTTCGGACGGACAGGTGGGTTTTTGTCCGTCTCTGATGTGCACTGTGAGAACTCGTCAATTGCGAATAAAATGACGTTTTATTTTTAGTCTACAATGTTTCTCATTGTATTCACAGTTGACAGTAAATGGGTTCGTGTGCTGTAATAAAAGCCTTCCTGCTTTGTGGTGGAGGAAGACAGTTTCATACATACTTTCTCACAGAAATTACTGAATATGGACGACAAGCAGACAATTCAATCCAGGTTTCAGGGGACAAAAATTAAATGTGCTGGCTACATCGGATAATTTCGTAATCATAACCACAGAAAAACAAAAAAATCGCTCCGGTAACAAAAATCACGGACTGTCACGTGATGCATATTTTGCTCCGGACTTGTTCGCAGCTAAGTTAGGCTAACTTTCCAGCTTAGTGGGATACTACGTTCATAATGATGCCATTTCAGTGTTTCGAAATGGCACAGTCATTGAGAACCAAGAACTTGATGCCACATCAGCTGGAACATGTTCAGTGTGTGTGTGATTTGCCGCATAGCTGGCCTGATAGGGTCATGTGCAGGCACACGTATTGATGTTCTTGAAGGATCCACAGCGCTCTTCTGAGCGCCAAACTTGCTCACTTGCACCTGCCGTTGAGATACCTCATTCCCAATTGGTCCTTCACCCTGCATTTTATATCTTGCCTCACAGGTGTACAAGCGCCTGTATGCCTCCTTCCTGCGGACCCCCGGCAGCTTGGAACGACCCCATTGGTGGAAGGAGTTTGTTGACAAGCCAGTCATAGCAAAGCTATGAGCACCACGGGGAAAAGAATGTTGCATCCTGACTCCACTTTTCTCATCATATATCATCTCAGTAATAGTCAGTCATTACAGAAATGCTGGAAAGACATGAATTCTGGACTGAGAAACATTTACCGATGTTGTTGGGAAATACTTAGAAAATTTCTCTTCACTCCCCATAGACTTTGTACTCAACCGCTGAAGTGGAGTCAGGATGCATCATTTTATCCCACCACGGTAAATGCCTGAAATGCACACTCCTCCAGTTGAACTCATTACCAGATGTATACACACTGATATCTGACAAAGACGAAGCCTGTGATAGGATCACAGTGGTTGGCCAAAGAAAAATTGGCAAGGCAAAAATATTTACACAGGTAGTATACAGGCTTTGCGCAGTGGCCATCTTGCAGGGCAGGTTTTTTTGGTCCATGGGGAAAACCTCCTTTGTGCGTACACGTAACTTGTGGAACAGCACCGGCCTTGTTGGTATTGAAAGCGGCTGAAATCGTCAGGACAAAGGATGTCACTTTGTGCTCTAAATCAGTGGTTCTAGTATTTTACTGAAAAATATTTGTATATTTTGCACTCACAGTTGTAGTGGTTAAAAAGTACATATTAGCACGCCATACCAGCCCCACTGGACTGCAGTTGGCAGTACGGGTGTTTTCTGATTCATTTGGTTATTATTGGATTATACAATTGTGAAATGTATGGTCTGGATTGCCGCAGGTGAAATTTAAATTGCTTAGCTTAATGGGAGTGCAATTTTGAAAGAAAGATTATAACCAGGGATGTTTGTCTAAAGAGTTTCAGGGAAAAATTCCTTGCATGTTTTGTCTTGTATTTTTTTTTACTTACTCTAAGAATGTGAAAAGTATCTGACTCATTAGGCATGCTAACAGGACACCTTCCTGAATCCCGTAAAAATTGCCAAAGTGCAAGAAAACCGATGGTACATTCCTTGGATGCAGGTTTTCTCAGTTATCCTACAAGTTGGGAGGAGAGATAGGTTGGAGGCAGGGCTCACTCCATTATTCTCTTTTCCACTGGTGCAAGTGGGATACCAAGTCTTTCTTCAAGCCCACCAAGAGTGAATCATTCCATGTTGAGGGCGACTGGCATCAAACACTCTTGTACACGAACCACTTCAGAATTCTCATTGGATCGTTCAGCTCTGAATTGCTCCATGTGAAGGATACGATATGCAAGATGCAGCGTCTGGTAAGGACTGCCATATATGGGCATATGTAGCATGCTTTGTTGCCATGGATCAACCAACCAGGATCTAGAATGAATGTTTGCTTGAAGATAAAAATGTCTCATATGCAGTTAGAAGAGCCTAAGAATATATGACTTAGCTAGCACAGTTTGAAAGTTTTTATACACCGATGCATCAGCATTGCAATTGTTTTGCAGTTGAAAACTTGCGTATTACCTCTGCAGCTGGGTTTGAAATCTCTCTGTATTTGTGCTTTCGTATTTGGACGAAGCAAGTCCTATTTTTGTGACATGAAATAATGCACATGGTGTTGGTACTTCGGTGTTGTGTATTTCAGTATTATAGAGTCCTATTGGTGTAAAATTGTGGAGGTGTTTTGTTCATGAGCACTAGTTCACAAAAGCTAAACTAGATCCTTGTGGTTCTTTTAGTTACTACACCTCCATGGTTACTATAATGTGAGAATTAAAGTTCACCATTTATTTTAAATGTTGGTATGCCAGAGAAATGGGAGAACATCTGAATGACATTTAAAATTACACAAATTTAAACTAAAAGAAAATTTACACCTCCAAGAATGACTATCTTGCACGATTGGAAGTACTAGTGTGGGTAACATAAATGTAATTCAGTACTTGGTTGACAGTTAATAAAACAAATTATAGTAGTGTGCATCGTGATCAACTCGACAGAAATGCTTGCCACACATTCCGAGTATTTGGACTGGAGAAAACATGAGTTTTAGTCTGATTTAAAAATTTTTGTGAAACATACTGAGGTTATATTCTTAACATTGCCCTTTGAAAGGGGAGTGCTTGATTTGAAAATCTTGCCATGTAATTTCACTTTTTGCGTTTTAAAATAAAGGTATGCAATTAGTGTGGTGTAATTTTTAATACGTATATAATTTACTCAGTGTAAGTTACTTGAAAGTTCCATGACTTTAACTCTCCCAGTATTACATTACTTCTAAGCTGAAAAAGATGAGGGAAAAAAGAAACAAAAAGTGGCAACCATTTACACGTAGTCTTCATGTTAGAAACAATTGTTTTATTGCCAAGACTACCTCCATATGACCTACCATGTTACTTTTAGGGTTGTCTGTAGTACTGAACCCAACCTATGAAGTGTAGGAACTTTCCAAGGATTTGTAATTTTTTTTTCCAAGGGCCCACCTTTGGGAATGAAAATACACGAATGAATAAATATTAAACTGCAGTGTCCAGTTAGTGGAGCGTCCACGCTGTGTGAAACACTTCGCGCATGTATGTGTACAGTTTGGGGTATTGAGATCTGGAGAAATTGGATTGGATACTTCCAGTGAGCTTGAGAATACATCGGATCTTATTGAGAAGGGGCATGCAGTATGGCCACAGTTGGGACATCCAGACTCGCTGAAAACGGATACCGAGTGTAACTGGACTTAAATATGGTCGTTTTAGACAAGGGGCCTGTGGGATATCTGGACATGCTAAGTTCGTGGGGGGAGGAAACTTTGACCGGTCATTGACGGATGGGGGCTTGGTTAAACATTGGGTTTGAGCAGTTAGAAAAGCAAGGGAAACCCCAGGGTAAGTCTCTTTCGTACTTGAGGATCCTCAATTTCCAGAAAGCTGAAAGAATTCTTGGTAATCATGCAGGAATTAAAAAAAAAGTGTTTCTAGGCGGGGAGCATTCTCCATTTCCTTTCTGGTTCGTGGGAGGTGAGGCTATTCAAAGCCAATGGCATGAAATGGGCAAGGAACTAAACTGTGAGAAGGAAATTATTAACCTTAAAATTACTTCTATCTAACTTAGTCTAATCTAATTACAACAATACTGATGTATAATGATTTCCCCCAGTTTAAGTTATACTTAAATAATGTTAAAATTATCTTACAAAACTCATAACTAAACGATGTTGTTGAGTGTCCAGTAAATTAGGAAGGATACAATTTACGATAAAACAAGCTCCAATATAAAAAGTCACGTTTATCAAATTTATGCCATGAAAATATAGTGATAAACGTGTAAAATTGCATTAGTAGCAGGTGCTCTTTTAAGTGCCGTTGCAAATTAACTGCTCATTCAGGAAAGCAGGTGCTTGCTCCACCAACTTTGTTCAAGGCAAATTACCTTCCTTCTGTTTGCAAATATCGACCGCCATTTTGCACAGGAGTTCAAAAAGTTGACCGGTGTTGGCAACAGCTTTGGCGTAAAAGATGCACATTTAAGCCTCAATTGGTGTGAAAAAAGAGAGGTACTTCAATTAAGTATGTTATCAGTAGTTTTTTACCATTTACCGTGAATTTAAAAGCAGTGTTAGAGTATATATAGAACGTGTTCACATAAAAAGTATACCGAGATAGAAACTACTGTAATGACAAAACTATTTTATGCATGGGAAAAGAGAAATATATCTAGAGAAGGCGGAATGTCCTCTTTGCAGTGGTCAACAGCTTTTGATGTTAGTGACACTGATGAGTGAACAAACTAGACTGACGTTAAAGGTACTTAAATCAGAACTGTGGCAAGTATGCATGTTTTGAATAACAAAAGTCAAACGTCGTACGAGCAGTAAAGGACGTATTACGAAGATGTCAGATGTGCATTGACAGGAATGGTTGCCATGTGGAGGGCACAGCACATTAAACTTATGAAGTAAGTAGCAAAAACAAAGCAGATTGGATTGATTTAGGTACATTCCTGGTTTTCAAGAATGTGTTCTTAAACAAAGGCCTTTGGTATTTATTCTGCACACTTGCATGGTTAAGCCTTGTTAATCAACTATGCAAACTTGTCACAGTGCCAATTTCAGTAACTTCAACATAAATTTAGTTTGTTGACTCATCTGTGTCAATAACGCTGCAAAGAGGACATTCTGCCGTTTCTAGAGATACATTCTCTGTCCAATATAAACGCAGTTTTCCCATCAAAGTAGTTTTATCTCAGTATACTTTTCATGTGGACACCCTGTACTTCTTGAGTTATTCTTTTCATTTTGTACTTGCAGTCAGCCATAGCTTGCACGAAGATGGTTGGCAAAGACTACGATTGTGGTGTAGCAAAAGAAGGGTCAATGTGTCACTTTTATTCCATTCTATGTCAGTGCCAAACATCTTTTTAAAAAATATGCAGCATTTGTCAGAGAAGAACATTAAATTTTAAAAAAAGGAAAGAAAAAGTATATTTACAATGTAATGCATAGTAGTTAGCTGATGACCTGTCGTACCAAATGGCAGCTGAGCTCTTGCTTAGTATGGAATTCCAGTTCAATACTGAAGTATACACTCGAACATTATTTGGTGGCATTAAATCGTTGGATATGCCCTATATACCGGTCGATTGCTTACGTTATCGGTTAATGGTTCACCAAAGCCTAATTTCACGATTCAAACAGTCGTCCACAGCTGTGAATAATTATAAGGAAAAGGGACTGATACGGTAGGATCGGTAAATTTAGCATTGGGCAAGTAGCGCAGTAGAACAGTCACGTGATCTATCAAACGTACCCAACATATTCATGCGTGGATAAATTCTGCCAAGATTGAACTATTTTTGGCAGGTAACTCGTATTCCCGACACAGAGACCTACTGCAGAGCCATTTATGGATGCTCAGGGGGGTTGGCCCCCGCCCCCCCCCCACACCCGGATTTGCCCTTGGAGCCAGCGCACATTCAAATCTTGCGGTTAACTTCGATTTCAATTTAGCACAGAACAATAAAGATGAAACCGTAAAACTCCAGTGGCAAACTGACAACAGTGGTGAAGAGGGGAAGCAAGGGGAGCAACTACCGTACCACTAATGATGGGAACTCTTGCTCCCCTCTCCTCCCCGACAAGAGGCTGGCTACGCCACTGACTTACAAAATACAGCAGCTCTTGACACTCTTTACGTCCAAACTTTGGGAGTTTAGAGATGAAATTCCCCTTCTGTCATTTAAAAATTAGTCAAAACAATCACTAAAGTGTGCAGTTTGGCAGTCGGTGTGACTAAAACAATTCTCAGCATTAGTATTTTATCTTGTTCACACATTCCGTTTCCTCTCTGTTCAGAAATTTCCACTTTGCTTACAAATGCCAGTGAAAAAATCCTGAAGAATTATCGTCGTTTAATGAAGGAAGTTACCATGGCTGTCTTTCACCTTGATACTCCGTGCAAGGAATCACATAGATAGTTTTCGCCGTTATCATTAGTACAAGTGAAGAACAATGTAAGGATGTTGTTCCAATTTACCGAATCCTGTTCATGGAACGTTTTTGTCGTCTTTCGGTTCGTCTTGTATTTCCGATTCCTTCATTCCAGAAACGGCGACAGGAACTAACCCTATATCGAGAGTGAGACGGCCGTCCGGTTGGGGTAATATACCTAGATCGCCCGCGTCACCCAAGCCGGAAGCCTCCGTGACCGGGCTCACGCTGGCCGGTAACTCCGTGGGGGCCTTCAATTCGGTGTTGAGATCTGGCAGGCCGGGCCGACCGCTGCGATCGGGAATATCGGTGGGGTAACCCGGAGGGTTGATGATCGTCTCGATGCTGGGCTTGGATGGGAATAAGGGGCTCATGGAGGCGTCGTTGCTGGGATCGGGGATACCACCTGTGAGTGGGAAGATGCTTGAAGTATTCACAAGGAATTGGTACAAGAGATGTCAGGTTGGTGAGCAGTAGTAGATTTCTCACCTTTGTTCGTCTTTGTGAACTGGGTTCGAATCAGACCATGGCAATCATTTAGGAGGGGGGGAGTTCCCTTGAACATTTGTCTGAAGGTCAACATCTAGAATTTGTGCAATGTTCGACTCTGAGACCCCGAGTTGAGTATTGTCTCTACCAATACAATTATTGTAAATAGTGGCTCAATCACATGGCGGGAAAAAAAACTAACCAGAAAGAAAACTGTGAACAAAGGCTATGGCATTATAAGTGGAAGAGGTAAAAGTATATGTAAACTGGGCCAAGGCGGGATAGAGAAAATCTTAACGACTTACCCGACTGTATTATAAATACTTGTTCTAGGAATGACACTCTGCTTCGCAACTCAGCTATCTCCACCAGAAGAGCCTCTAATTCAACCGCCTGGAATACCAGGAGAAATTAAAGGAGTAAGATCTTGAATTCCGAAGGAGTCAGGGGCAATGGATGGACCATTCTTCCCGTTCGAGGAAGTGGGATAGTTGGTTAAAGTTTCTTTCTGTAGGCACTGTCAAAGCCAGCACTGAGCTGAAGTAGGTCAGAACCTAACGTTCGGCCCGTACACAAGTGGACACTTTTTCCATGCTGCGTGTGACCGTGCGCAGTGTTTCTCAGTTTGTAGGGGTATTGCTAAAGGGGCAGGGTGCCCTCCGTTAGTCAGTCGGTAGCATCATGGTGTTGTCAGCAAAGGGGAACGGAGGGGGAGGTCACATACATTTCAGGTCGGGGAATCAGACTACCATCACACTTGAGAAATTCGAAGAGGGTCCGTCGGCAAATTTCATGATGGTGTCCCTCCATTTAAAATGATTTAGCGACACCTCTACACCAGTATCAGTTTGTGATGGCATTCTATGGGAGTGTTTGAGCGAACCAGAGCGGCATTAACAGCAGCGTGTCTGAGAATTGAGCTCAAAGCACGAATGACGGAACGGGTTTGAGTGCAAAACTTTGAGAAGGGGAGTTTACTCACAGAAACATTAAGACCGTGAGCGTCTCCGTTAGATCCCACAGGTCCCGGCGGTCCTGGTTCACCTGGTGCCCCCTGAATACCTATAAAAGATGAAAGTAAAAGTGCTTTGAAATAAGTGATAAAGTAGAATAAATGATAAAATAGGGAGGACAATTTCCAGTAATGGGATATAATAATTTCTTTCGTATCAATTCAGTCAGCAGTCCGTGTAATATTCATTTTGTTGTTTAACTTCTACTTTTAGTAAAATTGGCCACAGAATAATTCCACTCCAAAGTAACAAGTAAGGTGAATAGCTAAACTCTTGACAAGTCAATTTCCTTGGAAAGAACATCCTAGAAAACAATGTCATTAGTCAAAAACCAAGATATAAGAATTTCAAATAAAGAAATCTCTGTGAGTGTGTGTGTGTGGGAGGGGGGATAGATTTTTCTGATTTTACAGCCATTTATTTTTTACATTCCATCAATTATTGTAAAGCTACCAGAAAGACTTTGTGGGAGAAGGGCCAATAAATGTTGACTGTAGATGAGTATTGTTAAAATCACCTGCAAATAGCGACAAACCTCTCTTGACGGGTGTCGTATCAGCAAGCTATAGTTAAATCTGATGAGACACCATTAGTGTGGTGGTGTCACCCTCATGCGGGAAGCAGACGCGCGTGCATTTCGGCAAATCACGACAGCCTATTGATTGAGGGGGGGGTGTAACCTGTTCATGAATCACGGCTTGTGATTCTTGTCGGTGAGTTACTCTAGATAACAAAAACCGTCTGACAAACCTGGTGCAGCGGGACCGGGCGGCCCCGGGGGCCCCTGCGGCCCTCGAGGGCCAGGAGGGCCGGCCTGGCCAGGCTCGCCCGTCTGCCCGGGCATTCCTGCATCCCCGGGTAGCCCGCGGAGTCCTGGTGGTCCCCTAGGTCCTGAGGGTCCCCTCGGACCAGCGGGCCCAGCGGGACCGGTGTGCCCCATGACAGACTCGCCTGGCCGGGTGCCGCTGGAGGGAATATTGTTAACGTACTGCGTGTTGGGTAACGGTGACGATTGAGAGCCTGTTAACTAGAGAGATATGAAGGAGTCTTTTTGTTAGTGACATACTGTCCGCTACAATAATAACTCTCAACTGATGCATGTGTATTAACATTGAACGTGTTTTAACATAATTTGAAAGCAGTTCCAAAACTCTGTTTAATTTCATTTATTTCAATCAATATTAACTATTGTGTCGACGGTTGGTATCTCCATATATATGATCAGTGCCCATGCTATTAAAATTATATTTAGTTTTTACCTCAATTTCCTTTTTATTTAAATTTTCCAAGTTGTTATTTTGAAAGGCCGTATTATGCTTGCTACTGTCGGTATCCGCTAATCACGTTCATTATTTTATCCTCTTTTTTCTATCATTAAAAAATACACTTACCAATCTGTCGACCTTTTGGCGTAATTCGTCTATTTGGGAGCAATTGAAGCAAACTGTATATAGGTTTAGGGGGTTGGGTTAAAGAAAAAGCCAAACATACAAAAATAATTCTGAAATTAGCAAAAAGTCTGAATTAAAGTGTTGCGGTGAGGTGAAACAGAAGACAGAAAGTTTACAAAAACTTAAAATGACGGTCTTTTTAAATTGAAAGTATAAGTAAACTATAATTAACTCTCTATTTCGTTGAAGATCAGTCTCTAATTCCTCTGGAAAACCAACAATACGTCCCAACGTCGGACACCTGCAGAATTTGCATGTCTCGTGCGCAACCCGCTGATTGGTCGAAAGTATGTCGCCAGGTGCATCTGAAGCCAACACACTTTACAATACATTCCAAAGCAAATTGCGTGTTAGCTCAGTACGAGATTACGCTGTATGCTTTTGTCTACAGTTGTTTTTATTGTTTGCTGCTTTTCTCGACGTGTTACCGCCTCTTGCGTCAGTGTACTTAAAACCTTTCCAAGTGGATTTGGAGCAGTGATGTTGACGCCATTCTTCGAGTCTCAAGAAGCGAAGTGACACTGCAAATGTATGCTCGCGGTAAGGACTCTGCTAGATACATGTAAGCGCGGAGATTGTCCGGTAGGTTTTACACACAACTGTCTCTTTTGATTAACACTGAAATGAAGCAAGTGCTACATTTTGAATGACTGCAAGTGTTGAAAGAGCGGTTACTCTGCAGTACTGGGGGAATTCAAAATTAACAGAAGGCAATGGAGACTGTATTTGCGTAGCAACTTTACATTTAGGCCACCGATGCACTCGTACGTTTCACTCATTAATACATGTAGGCTATCTTAGTTTGTGTACTACTGTCCATAATTACCTTTGCAGCACATGCAGTCTTCGCTTCTTTAAAACACGCACTGTTTTTTAAATTACTCTTTGTGGAGGACACAAAAATGTGAAATTACATGTAATTATCATGGGAGAGGTGTCCTAAAAGTAAAGATACCCTATGAGTTTTCGATTAACGTATTTGATGGCAATTCCCTGATCGCTGACAAACCTCTGTCACAGTTCTGTCCGCTGAATCCCGGGCAACACCTACGCTCTCTTGTCTCTACGGTACGAAGACCGATGTAATATCTCGGCCGAAACATTATCCTTCAGGAAGAAAAACCAAAAAGGAGAAGTATCAAATTCAGACATGTCAACTACAGGTTTGTCGGGATAGGAATTCAAACCGGCAGCATAAATAGACATTATGAAACCAGAGTCTTATCAACAATTTAATTTCTAATCATATTTTTATTTCGTCTGAACATCTTTTGTAGATAGTACGGGTAATCTCCGGACTGTAGCGCGATAAATGAAGTAGTCCAGTCTGTGGGTCACATTTATTAGTTGGCAATGCCCAAACCATTTATCTACATGCGTATGTCATTTGGGAATCGTGATGGCATTCACGTCATCACTTCTAAACCATGGCCCCTGCCAACAGCCAGCCAAACTTTTATTTACGCAATGAACACACACATAGTCGATCTCAAGGTGACACTTGTTTATGACACATTTCCAGCAGCTCGTCGGCTAACCAGTTTGGTAAGTACCCCGCCGTCCCTCCAGGAAAGGTGTCATCTAGGAGGTGACGGCAAGGCTTTCAGCGGTAACAACCCTTGACAGAATTGGACCAATTTGGGGGTCGCTGTACCCTTGGCCTTGTTGATTGTGATAAGGCCGGTGTGTGTGTCTTCTCTTTCATCCCCTTAAGACGGAGAAAGTTTTTAAGGACACTTGGGAAGATCATTGTTAGAGAAAAAACTGCAAATACGAGAAATACAACATGACTGGTGATTAGATGAAAAGACTTCACGGCTTCTTTTAATTTCCAATTTTATAATATTCATTCTCAAGTTGAAGACCCAGCTCGTCACTCGTTTTCACCCATTACGTTTGGCTAAGCCCGTGCATATACCAACTGTGTCCTAAGTGAGCGATTCAACGCCCTATTCTCGTGTGTAAAATGCTCTGCTATTTTGTATGTCTCCCTCAAACCTTCATAATTGGCGAATGCCATTTCAGAATTACTTCTTTCTTCCGGATGCTCCTGGCCAAATTCCGCAAACTTAAAATTAAATTATGATTTGTTATTTCAAGAAAGGCTAAGGTAGTCCTTAAGGCAAGGAAACAAGTAGAAGCCGTCCTAGCTTGGTATTAAATGGCTTTGCTCGGGGGAGAAATGTGTTTCTGTAAACTCGTCCTTTCAAAGGAAAGTGTACTCTCGAGATAACGATAGGCGGAGAGAAATATGGACGTCAAACACAAAGCCATATTTCCCGTGGCGTAACTATTCCGTGCCGCGGTTGCCCCCTCCCCCGATTTGAAATCTTGAAATTTAGGCCTAACATTCTATTTACAAGCCACACTTCATCGGCTTTTGGTCCTCCCTGAAAAAATAAGTGCATTTCGGGTTCCCCCAAATGGTTTTTACCCCAGTTACGCGGCCACTACCTATTTCCATGTTAGAGCCCAACTAACATCTCTTGGTAAGACTTTTCAATAGGTACGGTACTTACACATTATTTTGGTATGGGCAGAAATTGAATTTAAAGTCTGACATTTAACCGACATGTCATGCTCACAGTATTAAATGGATGGACAAACGGCAGCTCTACAGACCTTGCCAGCAAGTAAGTGTTCCAGGCTGTTTTAAAAGTGGGCAGGGTTACTCCGATTCCAAGCTTCTTTCAGCTTGTCTTTGGGAAGAAGGCCCGTGTAATTTACAGGCAATTTGGTAAAAATGAGAAAATCCGCGAATTTGGCCTTGCAGCTACCGGTATGGTTCTAGAAGACAGAATTATCATTCGCAAAGGTGCTTGACGACGATCGAAACCAAAGCGCTATATTTTGCTCCCCTCTGTCAAAAATGATTAGCGGTGAACGTTCGCACCTCCAGAATCTTTAGTCCAAATCCAGTTTAGGAAAGTGCGTTGTAAGCTCCCGAGCGGCTTGTGGTTTCGTGCCTCGGTCATATTCAACATCATTTTTAATGTGTGGTTTAAGTTAGCAACGTTAACAAAGCACACGATTTTTGGGGAGCCACGGGATACACCACAATGAAGTTCTAAAGGCAGAGACCTTTTGGCTCATATGTGGTTTAATAACTCCATGATCTGATCAGCTGCAAGTGGAGTATAATGGTCAATACATAACAGCTGAACCAAACTGATGAGGTAATCCTTTTTGGCATGGGGTGATGTTTCATGAGCAATGTACATGTAGGTTTGAAGAAAGGGAAGACTGATGTAAGCGAGAGCCGCAGGCACGTCTTCACATCCAGTGTGGAGGAATGGCTCCGGATTTCGTTGGCTTTCTGAAACATTGTGGTATGCGAGAGTTTTGTTGGGGGTGTGTTTGTACTGTGAGTGGTTTTGTGGTTTGCCGCCAAAGGTTGGTGGCGGGTTTAACCCCCTTTTATTCTCCCATAGATTTGCCACACCTCCCGACGTTTCTGTTCAAGTTTTGACGGGCCTATTTTAAACACCGATGCGGGTTTGGGCTAACCATGGTGGCAGCGTTTGTACACGAGCTGTAATCGAGCTTTCTCATTTGATATAAAAAGAAATAGTATTACAGTTTGAGTCGAGAAACGTAGCAGCATGACTTGAAAGCTTGGGCCCAACATAACAGCGGCTATAGAATGCGCATTCACATGTACAACCTCCGACAATCTGCAGTTATCATTCGACCTCGCCCCTTCACAGATAATGAACGGATGACATTGCATAACTACGCGTCCAAAATAATGCTATCTTGGTTCGTTTTACAATGGAGATAATTATTCTGCTGTTCTGTTCGGATGTGATTCTTAAGATATAATTGGTCTGCGCTTCGACATACGTGCACAGACTGAATGTATTAAAAAGTAAAAGACGATAATAGCTTTAAGAAAATTTCCCAATCTTCACGGAAAATCAAATGTCACTTATATAAAAATGCGACTGAACTACATGCATTGGACATTTTGGTATAATAGCTTTACGACAGCAAGTTTCACGGGGCAACTGAGAATGGAATGAAGAGACAGCTCACCTGTATGACGTCTTATCGCAGTCTTTCCTGCCGAATGACCCGTAAAGTGACTGTAGTTGGTACTTGCACCAATTGGGCGTGGTCCTCTGTACGTACATCTCTGTGCCATTTCGAATCGCGCACGACACCTGCCTGGTTACTATGAAGTCGCACCAGTTGCTTCCCCTGCTGAGCCCAAAAAATCCAAATACAGCATTGATTAATACTGTTTCCTCTTTATCTCTTGCATGGTTTAATGCCCCACCCCCTTTCTGCGACTGCCGATGAACTGTTTTCGTGCTCATCGTTTATTTACATTTCCGTAATTTAGGTATATTTTCAATGGGCGAGTAAAAGGTTTGTCAGGGATGGGACTCTTCGGTGAAATTTTGCCCATGAATGATGCCTCGGTGCGCCAGTTTCACCTAGCTGATAAACTCGTTGCTGGGCAAAACCATTTTAACAACCAAAAATTTCATTGGTGTATGGATTTTTAGATCCTGGGTATCTGGTGATAGTTACATTATGTATTTTCTTGCTTAGCAAGTAGCAAAGTAGTAACAGTTCAGTATTAAGCCAATCTGGTGTACATGCCTCTGATGTCAGCTGCATAAAAAGGATGGATTTCCTCTTCATGCTTTCGAATAGGGTCAAGTTTGTGAACTTCGCCAGCCCTTGATATTACCCCCAGCTTTAAATGAGTAACTGTCCCTAGACACGCCCCTCTGTGGTCCTTGCGGCTACGTTTAAAACAGGCGCATTGTTTCTTCCACAGATATCACCCTGTGCCGATGAGTCAGTCCACGAGACAACTTCATGCTGACGTCATCACAGGGGAAGAGGAAGGATCAGGTCTCCACATCGAGATTTGTGCTTGATGAAAACTGTGTTTCCTCACAGTAACCGAGTCGGCCGTTGCCATGAAAACGCGGGGAATCTGCAGGTTGACTGGGTAAGTTCTATCTAGTGTATGAAGCAGGTATGAACTTGGCTTGACGGCAACAAATGTCAAGCAAGCCAGCAGTGCAAGGGGTTCGAAAAGGGCGTGGGATGATGGATCACCTCAGCTGATTCCAACGACCCTTCTGACATGGGGTCCTAGGGTTTATAGGGGGTAAAATTCCTTGCGCTAACGGATAAGTGAACTTCAAACTGACTGTATTGACTATTGAGCATTGAAAATAAGCGTTCAACAAATTATGTGCGGGTCAGGAAAGGTACCGTACTGTTCTGTTTGACATTAGCTCTATGCAAGAGAAACCCTACTTTGTGTTAATTGATGGTGCCTGTTGATGATGCCCTAAACTATAGACAACACAACGGGGGCACTGAGAGTTTTCTTTTATTGTGAGTACATGTATGTCGGGGACATGTACATACAAGTACCAGCTCTATGCAACGTAATAATGCATTTGATCCGCAGAGTTATCCAACTCTGACATATTGCTCAAAGCATAGGCCTCTAATTATCTTACAAAAAGTCATAGAATTCACTAACCCCTTCAACACTCAGAATATACCTTACCTCCCATGTTATTCTGGGTGGCTTTTCCTATTGTAAACATCCAAAACGGTGCATTGCAAAGTCATGACCGCTAAGTTGATGGCACCTGAACCCCTTGACCGTGAAGTTGACAGGTACTCCCCTGGGCCCAGACCGCTGCTCCTCCCTAGGCACCAGAGAGAGTGTCGTAATTGCTTCACTGGGGGAGGCCTCTGAATATGGAAGTGTGTGACTATTGTTCATTTCCGTTCAAAAGGTACGCTCCCCGGTTTGCTTTGAAGTAAGATAATGTTGCCCGATGATGTTCTGTAACTGCGAAGAATGTCTTTTGCTAAACCTTTACGTTACATTTTTTCAAGATTGGGTCGGGAGGGGGCGCCAACAGGGGCTTTAAAATCAACCGAAAGGACAAAACGATTTTTTTGGTTAAATAAAAAAGCGATTAAGGGGCGTTGTAAAGTGTGGACGAAGTGTTACCCTGCGCGCGACAACTGGCATCAAGCATAGGAAGCTGGCATTTATTAAAAGATAATAATATTTACATCAACGATGTAATTTACATACAAAAGGCTACGCCATCCCTACGTAATGAAAGATTCCCAAGCCGTTAGCGCGAGCATATTAAGAGAAAGATAGGTTAAATTAAAACAGTTGCGTGAACAAATTCAACCATCACTATCGATCATTGACTTCTTGGTCCAAGACTAGTATTCGACAAATCCCTGTCTTGCAGTCTATTTTGAATCATAAATGATGAACATTATGAAACACTCTGAAAACCGTCATGCCAACGCCTGTTTACGCATAACCCCTAGCGCTTACCAATGCACTTTAAGGGTTTATTGATCACGTGGATTTCTTATCGAATAACTCAAAGTCTTGACGTTTCCTTTAAGGCAGTATCTGTCAGGAACATCCAGTATCACATGGCGTGGCTCTACCCCACGGGCTATATCATGCACACTGGCCACGACAACATACTTGTCAAGTTATCAAATCTGGGGCACTGAGTCAGCCCCTACAGGGGAGTATCCTCGATGCATTTTGTAAATTGCCGCTCCTGGAAGCACGTGTGGACAGATGGCCACTGGATGTTGCCTTTTTTTAGTTTAAAAAGCGAGGTAGTAAGTCGGAATTCGATTCGAACCAACGTCATTGTGGTCTTGGTTTCATCTGTTAATCGAACCCTCATGATCAACGTAAACTTCACCTCAATAATAAATAGTTACGAATAGACTGCATTCACGGGGGACCCAATTTCAGTCGAATTCCCCAACGTAGTGTATTCATTTGAACACATTATATTTAAAGAACCAGACTATATTCTACGTTTTGATTCCAACCCCCGAAATCAACTGGTACCATCCCATTAAGGGTTTCAGTTGTATAAAATGCCTTCAGTAATAGCCGATGACTGAAATCGGTTATCCCGCAAATACGGTCTGCTCACGAGGTAGAGTAAGTCAAAACAATCGATCTTTTACAACACAACAGAAATGACAGCTGTCATATAATCTCGGGACACGTCTGTTTATTGCGGCGGGTTTCGTCATTGACTTCTTACAAGAGTCCGTTTAAAAACATCTTGCATACGGTCACCCTTACTCTCATGTTGTAGTTCAAATATGCCTTTTGACTTGTCTTCGTTTAGGATAACATGTCCTATAGTAACAACATCCTTTTCCAATATCAAATGGCCGCCACGGGTCTCAAGGAGATTTTAAAGTACATGTATCTGGTCCATCCACTCGGGGCGTGACGGAGACATTAAGTAAAGCATCCTCTGTCCTCTTATCAACCGGCAGATCTGGGAGAGTGAGCACACGCGTAGCTAGGCCAATCAAGGCTAAACGTTTTACCGCTTTCATCCTGGCCTTATTTTGTACGTCATTAAAAAAAATGCAACGCGGAGCAGGAAGGAAGAGAGGAGCTAAAAGCGGGGTGCCGCCTGGCTTGGGCGACGATTTCCAAGACAGTACCTCACCACTTTCGAGACGATAGCCTCCAGACATAGAGATAGATATCATATCGACCTCTTGATATTTGCAGCGGGAGCATGTCGTCCCATGATTTCATGTACTCATATTTTTATTTATAGGCCTACTTACATTTTTATCCCCTGGTGGAACAATCTGAGAACACATCATTCCACAGTATTGGAAACCATATGTCAGGACCCCATGTTTAAACATGGAAATAAAGGCTGCAGGCCTCTGTCAGTCATTTCTGCTGCGAAACTGTTTGACGTAGGCCTACACGGAAATCCTTCTTTTTATAGTTTATTAATTTGATTAAACTAGGCAAAAACATACGTTTAAAAATCCAGGATGACGATTTCAGCGATTTAAAGAACATAGTTTTGGCAAGTTAGGAATAACCATTGAAAAATATTTCAGAATAACGTGGGGGATAGGAGTGCCTTGACAAATTATATTTAGCTTAAAACTGCAAAAGCTGGACTAATTATAGATGACAGAGAAAAATTGAAACAGTGTACTCTTCTTGTAATATTTTAGCTGATGGAGTCTGGAACTGATTTACAGGTGATTCACCGCAGTAGGATTTTCCCTGACCCAGATACTATTTCCAAAATGACTTAAATGGTAACTCCAATCTCCGGATACATCTTTTTCCTTCTTGCTCAGTTCTTAAGACGATGCAAGGCGATAAACTGAGAGCCTGAGACAACACTATACATACGTATACTGTAATAGGAGCAACTCTATATAATGCGTCAAATGTGTTGGTCTGGGTGCCAGACCTGGGGGTTCCTTACTAAAGTACGGTACTTTCTCGGTAAATGGGAGGGGTCAATCCCCCCGTGCTCTCACACCAAAACGAAAAATGTAATAAAATATTAGTCATAGTAGTAACCCCCCAAAAAAGTGACGTCCAACTACGCGTAAAGGTAAGTGCCCCCGAAAAACTTCCGGGATTCGCTCTAGACATAATTATATTTATAATTATAGCCTATCGGGGGATCGCAAAGCTTGCCGCCGATAGCCCAAATAAGGCTGTAATATCCCACTTTCACTGAGAAAACCTCCAATAAATTCGGGTTGTACACAAAAGGTTACGATGCGCCCCGCAAGTAGACCCCCCCCCTTCCCAATTTATCAGGATCCTCCACCAGAGAGATATCGTAGTATCTGACTGCAGCTGGCTCTCACCAAGCGTGTTGTTCAGAAAGATGAAAAGGGATCAACCATAAAACCGGCAAGCACTTTTATTCCAAATATCATTTCGGATGGGAGGTTATCTTTGCCGGACGCAACGCTAACGTAAATCGGATGTAACATATTAACTTGTGTAACCGGGCCTTGTCGTCCCTGAAAAAAAAGTTAAAATGTTTCGTTCATCGAAGGTCAGAAGGAACTGTTCATAAGTTTCCCAGCCAACCGAGGAATTGCAGCTTATTGTGACCTCGAGACCTGGAACATGCATGTGACTTTCGGGCTGCCTCCCTTTTCCCCTGTTCGAAGGTCTTCTGGAAATGTGGCTGTCTGGAGTACCTACCAGGAAACAAATGACTCAGGGTCTTGTCTAATCCAAAATAAATAGTCGACACGTGCTCTAGAAACTAAACGGCCCATTTACAAAGAAGTAAACTAGAAATATTCACTTCCCAAAACACTCATTCATAAATACGCATACATTTCAATGATGTTGTTAAACTTGGGTAGACTGCTTTTTGACTGTCTTCCCAAATTATTAATGTCCTGAAAATCCCAAGAGCAAACAAAGTTATGAGTAACGAGCTCATATTTCACACGTCAAGTAGATCATGCATTAGATCCACAGACATATTATCAGGAGAAGGGGGAATTTTTTTCGGGAGGGGGCAAACATTTGGAAGTTCTTTATGTAACCTTTTCTGGCATTTCTAGCGTTGAGGCTACATTCTAGGGCTTTCCGCGTGATTTTCAAAGCAAGCAACAAGGAAAAATTTCGAAAACGCCTTTCTCTCCTTACTTTGGAAAAAGTGCTACGGGGGGGTCCCCTCTCCTTGTTCCAACTTCCACCCTTGGTTTTAGGAATGTGAAAGTGCAGGGTGTACTACCCAGGATAGTTAGAAGGGGGGGTCGAAATACAATAGCTCGGGAATCCCCATGCTTGGGGTCCGGGTGCACGCTCATCCGGGAATTTTTTTAAAAGACACCAAGTCCTGCAACCAGAGTAAATCCGAGGTGTCACAATAAACCACCCTCAGAGTATCTGTGAATAATTATGTATCTTTTCTGTCTTTCCCTTTCAGTCTTTTAAGTACTACACATACCTTTATGAATTGACAAGAGCCGTGGTTGACTGGTCAAACAATTAAGACACCTTGCACACATATACCTTTGGGAGCATCTTCCATATACCTACATTCAAACACACCCACTTACAATAGAATAGTTTCTGTACCCCCACTCTGGTAAGGAACGTAGCTGTATATGCATGAGTTTTGGTTTGAATGAGAATGGCAGTGCAGTGAAGTTTGAAGAGCATGAGCCAATGAGGTGTAAATTAGTGGAAAGTTTTTCAGTTTGAAAACAGAGTTAGGGCAGTCGTCTCCCATGTATCTGAGCGAGTGGATGTCCCATCAGCGTGCTCTGCTGCAGCGACTTTGTGTTGCTTTCGGGTGATTCAGGCCCGAAGAGAGATCTTTTGAGAAAACCCGACTTAGAAGAATTTGCAGCTCAGTTAGATTTTGTAAAATTGTCTTTTGAGCACATTTTGGCGCAATTTGTATCTTTACTTGGCACGTTTGAGGGAGACAAACCAACAACATTGACCAGCAACCGTAAGTTAAAGAATTTCAGTATTTTCTATTGAATGATAGAAATACTGTTTTCCTTACCATATTTATTATGAGATTCACCAGGAATAAGGGCGGAATCAGGAATTTGAATTAATTTAAGGGATGTACTAGTAAATATTTGATAATTGCGCTCCTCCTGTAAAGTCTGACGTTGATCTACAATTGTGTCAATTGAAGTAGAGAATCCCAAGATGGAAAGGTCTAGAAGTACTACAATTAGTGCTATTCTAAAGGGTGTATGGAAACGAAATTGATGTTTCACTTCCTGATTTGTGACATAAAAGTCTAAAAGCAGAGCAAATTTGCATGTTCAATTAATAGAGCTTTGAGAATTTACCAAAAATTATGAATTCACAGACGGCCCTTGGTGACTTTTGATGCCCTACTTTGGTCTTGATGGTCTTTCGCGAATTTTGATGGCCGGCATCGCTTGATGTTTTGTTCCGAGCCTTGATGGAAGAGGAACGCGTGGACGCGGCCGTGGAGACGTGATATGTGTGGACGTGTGGAAGGAGGCCATTTGAAGTGGAGTCAAACAGGAACTAAGCGATCAACTCACAGAATTTATACCGCCTCCACTGATAAAAGCCATCAAGAAGTCAGTTTTAAATCCTATATCATATATAGCCTTTCTTTGAGTATTATGTAAGTTTTATTTCGTGCTAAATAATTATTATCATTGTGGATAATAAGGGTGTGCCTGGGACAGAATATAAATTTGGATCGAAGTTGTTGCATTGACCTCATTGAACTAAACTTGTTGACCGCCAATTGAATATGATTTTTGAGAAGTGGGGTACGAAATTTACGGGAATGTCACGTAAATTTCATGTAAACCGTAATAACTGAGCGGGGTAATTTGATTTTATACCATTTTGACTCTTGGGTAGAGTCAGATATGTACAAGTTATTTTTTACTTGTGACTGAACTTTTGTAAATTATCATTGTGAGTTGCATAATTGTAGTGTAATGAACTAACAGAAATTATAGAAGAATTCGTGGACTTGATTTTATTTGCCATGGTTATTGAACACTATTAGAGATAGGTGACTAGTTCTGACACAAGGCCTGTGTTTTGTGGCTGTTTCATCAGTGAAACAATTGAGGAGTAGAAAGGGGGGGGCGTTCGAACCCTCTGAACCCTTTCCCCCACGTCCGCCTTTGAAATGTTTCACGATTCGTATCGCGATGTTGCACGTCGAATGATTTCCTACTCTGCGCCTGGTAACGCAAGCAGTCACATAATTCTTGGGCGCGTGTGCTTAATGCTAAGCCCTTGCGACTTGTGGGACTGGACCTGACTGTATGTGGATAGTCGCCACGACTACTCAAATTCACTAGTCGGCCCACACCTAGCTAAAACATACCTCGCAACATTTCGGCGGATGTCCGTTTTTGAAAAGTTCCACGACTGTCGTCACATTACCCTTAATCTGTTACAAATCCACGTGCTGCCGTTTGTCTGAGACGTGATCACGTTTGCATCAACAGAACGGATCTCAGTGATCAGGGATATTAGTCCCCCTGTCACATGACATTTCCTTTGCAAATGTGAACAGTTGTTGTACCGACTTAAAAGGCTTTCCTTAACATAACATTCATGTTCTGGGAAAGAGCATTAGCATGACGAATGACGGTTAAATGAAGGGTGTGAAAAAATAGATGCCAGGGCAGACTTTAATAGGCCTAATGCACGGCAGGCCATATGCGGTGTACATGAAACAACCTATTTTAATCCAGTATCAACCAGTAAAAGTAACTTTAAATTAAAGGCTTTTAAAATTAGCACAAATGGCTACCCCAACCGAACTAAAATACAGTCCTTTGTAGTTACGACTGTTGTTGTTCGTGCGGTCTTATTACTGGATTCCCCGGAAGAGGTTGATTATCAACTGTTACTTCAGCACATTGGCCGCAAATCCACGAAGAGTATTCTTACGCTGTACTTTAATTTCCTGCAGAATGTAGCTCTATGGTGTTAGCTTGTTTATATCATGACACAGCATACTTGCAGAGAAGTCCCTGGGTCTACATGACGACGAAACATCAGTTCCTATTTTTCACTTCTCATGATCTTCTTTCAACCTTTATCAATGGGACGTAAACGATTTAAAGATTATTTCGTAGGCAAGTACCTCCTTCGTCGATTATCTACAGCCCTTGCTATTTGCCGCACGGACCTTGAGAGTACTGTGATTGTTTCGAAATCTTCGAACAGCGGGACATACAGTCTGCCAAGAATATTTCCAAGTCTAACTTCGTTCTCCAAAGTCTGTTTGATGGGGGTGAAGAACCTGAGCCCGTTTGGGGTGAAAGAGCACGGCTTAGGCTATTCAGGAGAGTGTTTTCACTGGGGTAGAGGGAGCAATATTATCTCGGAGATACAATGCTCGATGGACACTTAATTTGGTACGGAACCAGAAAAACTTATTAAAAATGCCTATAGGGGCCTACAGATAGGCGATACACGTGCAAATACGTTGTGCGTGTTTCCAATATTTGCTACCACGTGAATCTAAAAACTACCCCATTAAGCTGGCTTAAAAAAGAACACAGGCATGGATTAATCATGTAAACCAGTCGAATGTAATCGATGTGACATTATACTGAGAGGGAAAATACACAACTCGATAGGAAAAAGAATGTATTTAACAACTTTGCATAAACTTCCACTGTGTATACACACGGAAAATTTCTGAAGGTTTTGGACGACCGACTCTTAATTGCCAAGTAACCTTGAAAACACTGTCCGACTGCAAATTTGATGCTGTCAAAAGTTGCGCAAGACTTCAAAAGAAAAGTCATAAAAGGCTAGAATATTTGCAGCAGCTGAGAGTAAAAATTTCCACTCCCAGTCATTACAGAGGTTTTTCACATGACGTAATATGACAGGCAAAGGCATTTCAGGAAGCGTGTCTGTGAAGGCGCTCGCATTTTCCGAATCTAGGGCCCTTTTCCAATACTCGACTTGGGCTCTGTTTCAGGCTTTGTTCCCAAAACCAATCCCCGATTGTGGGCCTGAAGCGTTTAAATTAAATTGGATTACTGTAATTTCTGGCTCTCTTGCATCTTATTTGATGTTTTGTGGCACTATTAGACTAACTACTGCGCTTACAGCTTCAAAGTCAGGTAGTAAAAAAAATAGGTGAAGCCTGAGACGGAGCCGAAGTTGAGTATTGGAAAACGGCCTAGGTATTTTTATCCGGTGCGTGACATCGTCATACTCGCTTACGCACCACGAATTGTACGCTCCCATTGGAAGATACAAGTTCTGCGAAAACTTCCACTTACTCTATGTACAGTGGGCGTGTTTGAACTGAAGTGACGTCACACTTATGAACCGGATTGGCAATTTTATGTACGCAAGAATGTTAAAAGACAATGAAGGCGCGTGCGTTTCCGCGCACATCTGTGCACGTTGAACGCTGACACCAAAAATCACGTGACTGAAAATCTCCAGGGCTGAGACACTGTCGTCAAGCAAACGTGACATGTAGGCAGCGATCCAAGTCAGGCTACTCAAACATAGAAACAGTGACACTGCATGTATTCAGACAGGCTACATGGTTTAGCACCGTATTGCATGTTTCGCAAGCTGTCATCGACAAGCGACCTATGGAAGTATTTATTTTGGAAAGGTTGGGCTGGTGTACAATCTCCAACTAGAAGGCCAAATGTTTTTATGTAGGCCTGGGGATAGAATGACGAGTGATAAAATACATTTACCTTTATTTTAGCGATAGCCGAATAAGAAAGGTTATCAATACAAATAATACAAAGCAACCGGTTCCAGTTTTAAAATAACTTTTTTAGCTTTATAGCTTTATATAACGCTTGAGCGCTATGTTGGTGGTATAAAAACGTACGAGGTTTTAAAACTTGACCAAGACAAAGAAACAAACACGTTTTAATACACAAATGCTTCGTGCTGAAGCCTTCATGCTTCTTTTTCTTTCCTGTAGATTAACTATTTCGTCTCGCTTTCAGCATTTTTGCCCAACGGGCTTAACGCAGAAACTCATGTTTAGACTTTTGTTATGCAATCAACTAATAGGTCTCCGCTTCTTTCTTTGATATGATTCAACAGAGAACCTACGCACGCTCAAGGTCACTAACAACAAACTTCTACGTCGCGGAATTGAGTGAACTGAATACCACTAGCCCGATGAGTTCCTGGATACACAGATTCCCACAGTTTATCCAAAGCGACGGCTTGTTTCTAGAGTGGGTTATTATCCTCAAGGAAGGTAAGAGGAAACATTTGAACCAAGATCTGGGTTAATTACGCCCTCCAGTGGCATCCCATCCAAGAGGCGCCAACACCATTTTAGGTTGTTTGCGATCTAAATCGTGCATTATCCTGTTCATGACCCTTATGTACCTCTTTTATGACCCAGGACTGATCTGGGGTTATAAGTTGTGCCTCCCAATGTAAACTGAAGCTACTGGCTGCTTCCAGGTGTTGAGGTACATTTTAAAGGGGGAAAAGACCAGGGAAGATGCTAGCGTAGGCCCTATAGTGCCTAGTGGCACCATGGTGGCACAAAACAAGTGGAGACAAAGTCTATGAGATACACGCCCCCTAGTCGTCCTGGAATTCCCGATTACAAACTAAAAGGAAGAAAAGCTTTGTATAAACACCACCACCCAATCCACCTGTGCCTCTTCCAGAAAAATCTTTCTACTCCCTAAGAATCGAATTAGCTCCACTATGGGAGCTACTCTATGCATACGCGTCACGTCTGGGGCAAGAACCTGCCGGTAGGAATGGTGCACACAGCCTTATCATCTGAATGCGGTCACTCTGTCACGTTTAATTTTGCCTACCGTACCTCCCTTTTTCTTGGGTAAAACTTCTGTGCTTTTTTTTTTACATTGCGTTTAAAATTAATTTGTAGATGAACGCAAACCCTATGAGAGGAAATATTTGCCATCAATGCCATTGCTGAATCACGGGAACGGGTTTTTCCTCCTATTGGCAAACTTAAGAGTTCTTCACCCCAATCAGATGATGCGGAATCTTGTTTTGTTACCTCCTTGCTTCTTGCCTTTGGCCCCGAGCTCTTGTTTTCGTTGCGATGAGCACGGACCGTTCGCGTGTTGTGGTTAGGCTTTACTCCCCAGGCGTCCAACCACCGACAAATAAACAGGCCACTAACAAGTGTCATTCTTGTCTGTGTACGTGAACTTTGACTTCGCTAATGGACCAGGGAGGAGACCCAGATGACTCAAGACGAGAAAATAATGATCACGGCAGGCCCACTTCACCCTGACCAGACCAAACCATTAATCGCTTGCAGTCGAAGTTCCAATGTTAATTTGATCATATTGAAAATTTTTACTCTTTTGCTCAACATCGATCACAAATAATGTTCTCCACATAGTGGTCACTACCCCGAATTTCAATCCAGTGAGATGCGCGTTTTCGCATGCATACAACTCTGAACGCTAAACTGACAATCATACGCTAGTTGGGGTGTTACAGAATTCCTAAAAGGAAGAATTTGCAATCGTTTCACAACACCTGTGAACAGATTCAAATTCTTTATCTTGAATCCTTGACATAGCTTGACACATGAGGAAGGAAAGGGGAGCGAAATAATTGGACGGAAAGGTCATGGTCACACGGTACATGGTCAGAGAGCCGATCAAATAAAATAAAATTACGAATAAGTTGCGGCATCCATCGGCAAATATAAAAATAACCATCCAAGATGTATTTTTGCGTTGGGAAGATGTTAATTATATATAACGGTTTGCCCGTACCCAACGTATATTAATAAGCACTGAGCATACAGTGCTTATTAATATACGTTGGGTACGGGCAAACCGTTATATATAATTAATAACCATCCAGTCGTTGATCACTATTTTACAACGCGTTCGATTTGGATGTCGTTTTAACGACCGAGTGTATAACTTTTTCCCCTGGACATTAATCAAGTTTGGCAAGCAAGTTGACGAATGTCATATATCACGGCAATATGTCACCAGCCGGCATGAATACAAACCGGCACAACAGCCGCTGGGCGTGAGCCATAAATCTCCCTAGATCTTTGCACCTGCAGTGTAAATGCTAATGACCAGTGCTACAAGGTGCCGGGATCTGTCTGATGGTCTTGACTTTATCGACGCAGATACAGGTCTAGTTGTAGTTGCAGTAGACTCGGAATGGAAGGAATCTTGTAGAGGGTCACAAACCCATTACTGTCACCCGCCTAAGGTCAGCCGCAGGTGTGTCAGGTTCCTAAACCACACAATGTCGAGGTGGTTTTCTTAATGTCGGATGGCAGGTCAGTGTGATTTTAAGTGATTGCATGGGCCAAACCCTTGAGGGGGGAAGGGGTAGACGTGACGTTTATAAAGGTTCCTGATGCTAGTTTGCTTAAGAATAGTCTGCGCTCACCTGTCGGCCCTCTACACGACTATGTCAGCCACACATTGCTGTGGAGGCAATAAAAAGTATGTGGAGTTTGTGGGTTGATTTACGAGGTTTACGTGCCATGCACTGGTTTAGCAACTTCGATAATTCCTCGGCAGATTCGCAAAGTAACTTTTACTTTTAAGACAGATTAATCAATTAGTCCCTTCAAGTCTACTTGTTTACTAGCAGTGACAATGACAAATGAACAGTTTAGTCGAATAGTGACCCTAAGCACATATATTTCATTGGCCCTGGGTTGTTCCAATGAAAGTTGTGCCTCGGATAATATCTTCCTTCTAAATTAATATGTTGGAAGAGGAGTGTCATAAAAAGTTGTGACTCCTGTAGGCCGATTCAGGAATGCGCAAGTGTGGAATTTGATGTGCCAATAAAAATCCAATAAGCTATTACCCCTTAACGTTAAGTAAACTCTCCCGCTGGCAACATAACAGGCTTGTTTGATCACCAAATTGGTATCCAACGGGGGGCCACAAACATCGGCAAAGCTCGTGTGGCACCAAGGACGTTGAACATACCAAACGATGCTGTTGGCGTTTTCCGCCAAAACATCGCTAGGGAAACGCTGCAACCGGGACTCTAAACAACCTTGCTTTCGTTAAAACGGAACGGTGCCCATGCAAACCATATGACTACATATGAGAAAAACAACAAAAATCCCGAATCACCTTCATGCACGTCATCCACTTATCAGCAAACACCGTTATCTCGCAGGCGGACAACAAAAATACAACAAGCCGATGTCCACGCAGCCAACGTCGAAGATAACACGGCAAGATTGACACTTGAGGGTGCGATTCGCCAATTTTCCGACCATACCAGATCTCAGTTGGGTGCTAATTGCCTCAACAAACTGATAAACGCCTGCTTAATGAGTTCCCAATAAACAGCCCAGCGCCAGGGGGAATAGCAATGATTGGTTAACAACCAGTGGCGTAGCTAGGATTTTACTAGTGGGGGTACAAAGGGGGCCCAGCATCTTATGGGGGCACCAGCTTTCAGTGTTGTGGTTTTTTGGGGTAATTTTTTGTTAGCCTTGTTCAATATGTATTCGTCCGTTTTTCAGGGGGGGGGAGGCACCTGGGAGCACCGGGAATTTGTGGGGGCAAGTGCTCCCTCGTGGCTACGTCACTGTTTACAACCCTGCCAGGCCGGCCGAGCGTACTTTTCAGGCACTGTGGTCCTTTCCTGTGCCATAAACGTTTAGTCGATAAAGAACGATTTTTGTTGCAAAAGGCTCACCAGGAAATGCTCTTCATGAGACCCTTCTCTGTATTATAGCGAATGACCACGTTTCATGCGTTCGTCTTGTGATGTTCAACTTCTGCATCGGTCAGTTACCGTTGTAATTTAGCAGATTTAATTTACATTAACAGTTAACATCTTATACTGGCCTTCTTTTGTCATATTCTTTTTGTTTATTTAAGCTGTTTTCTTCAGATGAGGAGGACGAAGGCTTGTCCGGTTTTGTCTGTGCATTGTATATTTTACTAGAAGAAACATTTCCGCCAGCAGCTGGCATCCTGTGATCGATAAGAATATTATGTAACTACGAAAACCAGGAATGCCGATAGATTTCAAGACCGCAGACGCGGTCGGGATAAGAATGCATTCTTGCTGTCGACCGCAGCCGTTCATAGCTTCCTTCGAACGATCATGGATATACTTTCAACTCTCTTGTGGTACTTGAAAAACCAAACCCAGTCATTAGCCACATCGTGTAACTAACGGAAGTTCCTCGTTCATTGTTTTACATTTCCTTAATTGCCAAGCTATGTGCGGCGGCCGGTGGACGAGGCAGCAGTCTGTTTATCTACAAACAGCGCTTTAAGATGACAGATAATAGATGGCATAATCCCTGCCGGAAGGAAAGCTGCAAGCGGTATTCAATAGTGAGTTCATGTCGTGAAGGAACAGCTTGACGTGAAACCAGCCGCGCGGTTTGGTAATCCAACTACTGCTCTGCAAGAGAGTTGCCATTGTTCAGTTGCCAACACACTGGAAGCATCAAGATGAACCATTGACCTTGGGTCAAATACAGAAAACTACAACTGGAAAGGCAATGACAAATAAACAACTGTAAGATATCACTAACACACAGGAAATCTTGGGGTGGAATTCGTGCGAAACTATTATTCATACTCTCCGTTTCTTCAGCCAAAAAATCGAGGGAAGTCAATTCGTCTCTTTGTAATCCAAGGACAAAAGACATGATGTGATCGCTTCCTGGTACCATTCTGGTGGATCGGTGACACTGAAAGCTAAATACTACCACTGGGCTTTGAGAATAAAGCTAAACAATCATTTCTGTACATTCTAAAGGACAGCAATTAAGTAGCAATATGGCTATCTTAAAATACTTGTAGTTCTGGTGACGAAATCACTTTTGAATCTGCACACAAAGTGAACAACTCCTGCCAGTATTTTTTTCCATTTTTCTTTCTCAGTCAATTGTCTATACCATCGACTCACGTAATCGACAAAGGATGAGGAACAAACGTAAAGTGGCTGCATGGGGAGACGGTTTGTCAGTATTTTCATCAGACAAAACAGATACAGCTTCGTCGCGCCAAGGTCACGCAGAGATCTCCAAAGCTTTTTTGGTTCTCAAGTCCCCTTCAAGTCCCCTTTTGCCGTAGGTGAACGAACACACAGGGACCAAAGCTAGCCCCAGGTCGACAGAGGTCAGTTTTATCCATAACAAACATGACCTGCCTCACAGCTCGGTGTTAAAGGCTTCGCACCTAACCTGGCGTGAATTCAGCTCAGACACCCTTCTATCCTGCGCACGGCGCGCTTGACAAGTAAAGCCTCCTGGAAGTGAATCACTTCTGCTTTGTACTGAGCCAACCTGGACTGGATTTTAAATG